CCTGGAGAATGGGACTCAGAAGATAAGAGTGACTGCACTGGGACTATCAGGAATCCATGGAGGGAAGAGGCCAGTCAATCTCCTCCAGTTGCCACGACTCACCTCCTTCGACAGGTCCCAACAGTTTCTGGTACCTTGTCCATTGTATCGCTTTAGCCATGACTTTCCAAAACTGTCTTTAAAATATTTAGTGATGTTGAATCGCTACCAACGTTGTTCCCAAAGAACACAAGTGACTGAAGGTAAATAGTGTTATTTTTAGTTACTTACGTCTCCTAAAAAATTGATTGGAATTTCTTGGAACAGAATAAAAACACATTTTAGTAGTCTCAAACTACATGCCTGGCTGACTCCCAAAGCCCAGCAGAATAGGCTCAAGGGCTTTTCAAACCGAAAGCTGAGAGTGACTGTCATTCAGGTATGTTATCAAAGGCTGAAATAGGATATATTGCTCTGTAGTTACAGTCAACACCCATGCCACATTTTCAAAAGATAGATTTTTATAAACTTTCTATACAATACAAGTCATTTTCATCCACTCGTACACCTCTCTATCAGCTCTCAAAGGGTTCAATCTAAAATCCATTGAATTCACTGGTCACCTTATGATACTGTTCAGTGGTAAGATGTAAATGTCTCCCAAAGTCTATCTTACATTTCAACAACTGTATTCTGTTCCCTCCTGTGGACTTCACTAGTGTTGGACTCCTCTCTGGAGAAGGAGACCAGTTTGGTTCAAAGTTCTTGAACTTCAGGACTGAGCTGTAGGAAGTTTTCTGCTGCGTTGCCTGCTCCTGGAGACTCTGCTACAGCTGCAACTTTGACAGAGCACTCGTATCGCTTAACATTTGTAGTTTATGATAAACTCTATTTACCATGGGCAGTATATTTTTTATATTTCTAAACCACCTGGACACACTTTAATGTGTCTTTTTTTTAAATTCTTCACAGTAACATGGCAGGTTAAGTATCACCATAGCAACACTTTACCTGAATGTTTTGAACCTTTACCACTCTTTACAAACTACAGCAGTGCAATGAAAACCTGTTCCAAATGAGTGCACGACGTATGAAAAATCTTTCTCTGAATTTAGAAACCGCATTTACATACCATCAACTTCAGCACTGAGGCCCTTCATAGAAGCTGGAAAGGAAGAGAGAGGGAAAAACATGCTAATAAGCATCATTCGTGTTGTGAGGATAGGAGTTTCCACAGAAGTTGAAGGACTTCATTTTTGTTATTTGTTGATTACTTTTTTCCCCTCCCTCCTCTTACCATCAGGAACAGCTTCAAATTCTGTCAACTCCTGAGAAAATTTGGCCAGATCAGGCTCATGTAAGAAGATCTGTTCCACAAGGGCATGAAGCAAGGTGAATGTCCTCTCCTTACCCCGCAACAGAGGTAACTGCAAATAGAATAGAGCAAGAATTGACAGACTGAGCTATCATACTTTAAAAAAAGAAAAAAAAAAAAAAAAAAGGAACAGCAGGAATGTTGATAGCTCCCAGGTAAATTTGACAAGAATAGAAAACACAATGAAATTTAACTTCTCCTTTTCAATCTGCCATTTCACAGACATTCTTGATTAAGATCAGCTTTACACTTTCATATCCGGTGACCTTCCTTGTTCTTTTGTGTCTTCTTATTCACACGGGTCTTTTTTAACTTAAGGTATCCTAACTGATTGCAGCTGATTCTGGACCTCCAAACACAGTCATTATTCCTTTCCACTTAAGAACAGCGTGCTGCGTTCGCAAAGATAGAAAAGTTCCTTAATTGAATCTGGGAAGATGCTCTGTGGCAGAAAATGATTTTGTAGGCATTTTTCATTATGACAGATGTGGTATTACAGCTGTTATATATATATAAAATAAAAAAAAAAATTAAAAAAGGAATGCAAGTTGTCTCAGAATTGTCACTAGAGTTATAAATCACTCACTCGTATGTTAAAGTCTCCAGATGGGAAAGACACCTTACAAAACCAAAATAAAAATCCTTCTCTCCTATTTACAGATCAGGCATAATCTAACAATAGTGTTAAAGGTACAAGGCAGCTTAGGAAATTTGTATCTATTTTGTACTTTTTAGGAGCAGAATATGATGCTCTGCTGCTGTTGGGTGGAGGAGGGGGGAAAACCCCTGCGCTCAGTGGCAGCATTTTCTGATGGCAAATTCTGATGAAGAAGGGAAAGCAGTTTCCTCAAAACTAATGGAAAACTCAGCCCAATGTCACGCAAGTGGTAGGTCAGTGAAGAGACAATTAGAGAACTAAGAGTTAGACGATGCTTCTTGTACAGCAGATCTCTGTCAGGAAAGAGTAAAGAACACAACTTCGTCCCCTATTCAATCGTCCGGCAGAGCAACGATGGGGGTGTTGAAACCATTGCAGGCAAATTCCACTCCCTTTGAATTAATTTATTTACTTACGTTCTGCTTTGGAAACTTTACCTTAAACTGGCATTGTACCACTTGTTGCAAAAGACCTTTGCATTGGAGTAAAATGAAGCGCTGAGAAATTCCTCCGCTGCTATAGAAGTGTAACTACCACGGGAAAATGCTGCAGTTACAGCCTCTGACCACGTGAAACGAAGAGGATCCATACAACAGTGCTCTGCACAAAACTGCAAAACACAATTTTTCTAAACTTGCAGCTAACCAGGGGCCTGCGGCTGGGATGCCTCTTCTAGCCGGGGGATCTTCATATCAGGGCAGTCAGCATTTTGATGTCCTACCTCATTAGAAACGCAGTGTGTTCAACACCACAATGCCCCGTCTAGCCAGTGCTGCTCTAAAACGGGGAAACGCATCTTGTTATAACACACATTAAAGAGTACATTGTTAAACGGGATTTTGTTTCTAGTGTAACCAAGAGCAGATGTTAAAATGTTAGCTGCTCATTAAAAATGATTGCCTTTCCCCACATTCAGGGCAAAACTGAGTTAATATTAATGCCTAACATACCTTATAATATGATGATTTTAATGACAAGAAAAATATTTACTCACTTTGGCCAAAGATGACAATCGAAATCCTTTAGCCTTCTCTTTTCCAGCCTTTTCGTTTAAATGGTTCCCAATGGCTAAAATGTACTCCAAGACAGCGACAAATTTCTGGCTGGATTGCAGCTGCTTACTCGCTTGGATTTTCTGGTTTATTAGCTGAAACACACAGGTTTTCCTTCAGTTTAAATTGAAACTGTGAGTAAATCGATGGTGCCTATACCTTCCCTTTGCCAAAAGCCTCCCTGTGCCCACCTGAAGCAAGTCACGCTTCGGCTGATGGATTCCTTCCTACTCAACCTCCCTGGGAACCGGCCAGGGGATCGGGAAGGACCGGTTAAAAGTCTCCCCCCAAGACAAAGCTGGTGTTGACACAGTTACCCAATGGAGGTCACATCCGTTCTGGCTGCCAAACCAGCCCTGCCAAAACCACTTCAACCTCATCTCTTAAAAATGCTGCTGAAGAAAAAGTATTTTGCTGTTTGAGTGCACCAGATTGCACCAAATGTCAGGCGTCGGGGGAAGCAGATAGCCTGGAGCACAGAGTAAGGTTCTCCATCCTTCACCTCCCTCCTTTCTGTTTACACCAGCTGAAGACTCGTATCTTATCAAAATTCTTAGCACAGTTTCCCCACAAGGAAGAATAATAATAATGTCCTGTAATCAAACTCAGTATCAATTTCTGTTTTCCCAGGGAAGCCACCTCCCTTCTAGGGCTGTAGACACAAGAGGTGGTTTTGTTTTAAATTAGGAAATTATTTTTTTTTTTTTTAGCACCACACCTCTCTCCATCAGTCACCAACACACAAATTTAAAAACAGGGAAAGGATGAAACACGTGGGAGAGCTGAAAGCCATTGTTAAAATATTCCAAATATTCAAATATTTGGTTTCAGTGGAGGACAGCAAAGGTGAAGCATTGTACCAGGCAGGTCAGAAATCTCTGCATCTCCCCGGTGTTTTCCATCTGTTGTTCCTCTTCTGAGTTTTGTTCACTGTTACTATGGTTTTAATCACAGCCAGGCAAAGGATAACAACTCGGGCTTGCAAAACTTTCAAATTTTGTTTTCATTCCCATGCAGAATCAAAGCATAAGCCTTGAAACATTTTCATAGAAACAGAGTCATGTCGAAATACTTTGTTTTGAATCAAAGCGTATACAAACCCTGGCAGGTAAGGCAGCGCCTTGGAACAGGAGGACCCAGCCCATGAGACTGGAATACTGTTTATTTGCATTCCCCCCACCCCTAGGTCATCCTGAAAAAGGCAGAGAGGGACTTGAACTCTGGTTTGCAACATTTCAATTCAATGCTGTAATCCTGAGGGTGAACAGCCTCCTCCAGTCTTCTGACAACAGTAAATGTCTACGAGACGCTGGTCGAATGAACTTGCTCTGAGTATCTATGACTTTAGATTGATCCTTTCAGCTTGTGGGGCAAGAACCTCCCCACAAAAGGAACTGAATTTTAATGGTGAAATTCACTTCTGTCTTGTCACTGACCAAAGAAAGAGGAAAGTTTAACAACCCCAAATAAAAATTTGAAAATCCTTTCCTGTTCGTTTCTCCCTCCTTTGTGGAAGTCTGTTCCACTGCCAGACCCATTAGCAGCTGCTTCTTGAACCTTAGTAGAGTAAGGATGATATTAAATGCACATACGTGTGTATACATGCATATATACCATAGCCCTCATTTGTCTTTTTTTTTTTTTTTTTTTTTTTTTGGCCTGTGTTTTGTTTTGGACCAGTACTGTGGAATACTATCATTAACAAAACACAATAAAGTTAATTGGACTCCCAAAAGTATTCCAAATGCACCAGTGCCACTGTATTTCAAATGTAGCCTGTCTCTAACAAAGCCATGACCTATAGAGATTTTTTAGAATGTTTTTAACATTTTTGCTTGTTACTTTTGAACAGTGCCATGAAATGGGTTTTTATACACTAGGCTGCCTGGATTATTAGACTATGAATTGCCACCACAGAGATGTTTTGCTATAGGAGATAAAAAGGGGAAAACCAACCCAAAACCTCCCCAACTCGACAGCTTTGAAATCTGCATTGAGGCCACTTGACCCTCTACTACCTCACTGGTAGATTTTGATCGCAAATGCGCTGTGGAGCAGTCGTGGTACTCACAGGCTCCAAATCTCTCATGCTCACAGGGAGCTCACGTATGGTAAGCAGGAGATCCAGCCTCTGGCCTAAGTGGGGGATTTTACACATCTGCATAAAATTGAAAAGAAAAGGAATCAAAACCATGTTTATACCAAAACATGCGCATGTATCTTTCATAATTTATTAATTTAGCTTCACCATAACTTTTCTAATTTCTGTACTGATTTATTAATTTTATTCTAGGCTTTAAGTCTGTAGATATACTATGGCAAATATAAAAATAACATACCTAAATATGCATCATTTGCATATGCAAATGCAAGAAAACACTGTATACTAGTAGGGCAAACACTACTAAAATCAATGACACTCATTTCTTGTGAACAAGAATAGTTAAATGCATACAATTTACCGTTACAGGTTTTGGAAATCAAGCTTAGAATAAATCAGCTCCTACTTTGGAAGAAGGGCGTGTGACTTGGAGACACAAAGGAATCCATACGCTTCTCTTCATAATATCCACCTGTCTCAACTCTTTATCAGATAAATCCTCTTATACTGTTTCTGGCCGAGATTGTAAAATTAAGTTTCAAACAACAGCTTCTGGTAGTGGTTTTATCTAGAAGAGAGAGTCCTAGAAATGATGTGGTATGTTTTAATGCTGTGCCTTCTTACCTCTAGCATAAACTGATCGACCACGTGCAGCTGGGAAGGAGACCCCTTGAATGACTGGTACCTTTCTGCATCTTTTGGTGTTGGCATGTATCTGTAAAACAGCAAATGAAAATTATATTGGTGCAACATAAAACGGTCACTCCGTTCCATGCGTCAGAATTTCTTACTGTTCAGTGTGTTTTACGTATCGCATGTTTATTCTTTAACTTTATAGACATTTGAGCCAACTATGCAATGGAAAGCAAAAAAGGTTCTGCAGATACATCTGCATATCTGGAAATAGTTATATATAAAAATAAGGCTTGACAATAACTGTCAGTAGTGTTCACCTGCAGATCTACAGAGGATTTACGATGGCATGGGCTGTTGTAAAACCACGTGACGAAGGAGTTAAGGGCATAATTTCCAAAGAGGTTCATTAATTCTGTGCTTGATACATATGTGCCTTGTTTTCATTGATTGGATGAACCTTTCAAAAGCAGCTAGTAACAATATACACTTTTTGAGCAGTTATGGCTGTGCTGACTCAGCTGGCTCCAGCAATAACTTCTTTGAAAAATTAGCACAAGAGCAGAGCAGACTCATGCTGTGGTGTAGTTACCAGTGGGCCCCGTGGTCTGAGCGTCTCCTCCCTCCAAAACTTTTTTAATTGCCCGTGAAACAAGAACGGGCAATGACATTTCTGCCTTTCTAACTGCCACATCACGTCCGAGACCCGTTTCTCAGTTTTGCTGATCGCTTGTAACACAGACCCACAACTTTCTTCCTTTGGTGTAAGCAACAGAATATTCTCCCACAGCACTCCAGAGCTGCAGATTTTTAGAAAACTGATGTCTTTAAACGTGCCTCCACTTGGAAAAACAAACTCACACCACCACAGCTCCCCTCCTTTGCAGCTCTTCCTGCCTGCCTGATACACCAGGGGAATTCGTAGCGTATCTTAAAGAAGAAAAATGAAATCAATGTTATAGCTAACATATGAGAAGGAGCATTAAGAATCTTAAATATGTTTTCAGGTCTACTCTCTTCTTTCTCTGCAGAAAAACTACTAAATTTGTAGCAAGTGTGCTTAAACATTCATGGAGATAGATATACATTTTCATTAAATGCAAGGAAATGTATTCAAAGATGGAAAAAATAAGGCAAAGATTTGAGCATGTTAAATACAGGACAAACAATAAGATTTTTTTTTTTACTGTTGTCAATAATTTAATATGACGCTTTAATTGAGTAATTGCTGGGATTTGAATTATTAAGTCTATATTAAAACAGATTACAAAGTATTCCATTCATCACCCTTCATCATCAAGAACAAAAAAATGAATTCTTATTTAAAAATAAGTTATCTGTTGGTAAATTAAATATTTTTTTATTTATCATTAAAAATAGTTTAACTTTCTAAGCAAATTCAAATAACACTTTTTTAAAGCTGACAGCAAATATCTTCATTTAATCAGAAGTCTGATATCGCATCAAATTATTTTAATGTATTATGTGTATGAAATGAAACTAGCCGATTATCTAGGTTTAAAGCTTAAAGCATTAAACAATGGAAGCCATGGAAAAGGAAGCACAAGACTATGTGAATGCATTCCATAAATATCTTTTTACATGAATGCAACTCTAACAGAATTTGTTCAATGAAAAATCTCCTACTGTTCTGAAAAATTAACTTTACAGAGACAAAGGGTGCTTTGCAATTGATTTTAAGAAGTCAAGATAAAGAAGCATTCAGCGAACTATGGAAAGGTTTCTGTATCAAAATAAGTCCTGAAGTTTCTAATAATATTCCACCACCTCCACTAACCTTCACTGGATACGTGAGCAGAACATTTTGCTCCCCGCTCAAAGTCTTAAAAATGTGATCTTGGTTTTGGCTTTAAATATTTTTTCATTTTAGAACAGTAGAATTTAGACTTCCTGCTCAGGCTCAGACAATATGACAGGTATAATTTGCACAGAGAGGACTTTTCCAGCCCCTGACTGTCCTGTTTAAACTCCTGTCAGAACCACAGGTTCTCAATTAATCGGGGGCTGCAGTTTCCACGGTAAAGTTTTCCGCTATGGCACCTAAATTGAGTGGAAAGGTCTTCAAAAGTGCTAAGCGTCCTGCTCCTCGTATCATGCCAACTCCACTACAGCGCCTCGTACAAGAGAAACCTGTGAGTGCTGATGGTTCCAGCTAAGCGTCTGCTCCTTGGATGAGACGTCTGAACGGGAGCTGTGAGACGCTGCACTGCCTTGGAAATCCAGCCCTCAGTTCTGCAATGCATCTCATCTACTTCAGTAACATTTTTAAAACTGTTGGGGTGGGAAAAATCAGCTTCCTTTCACTACAAGATTTGTACATGCATTCCTAGATTTTGGGAAGAAATAAGAATCCCAGGAACAGAATTCTTGATCCTATATAACATATAGCAATGCAGCATCCAATCTCTCTTACACATTCTGTTACTAGAAAATTTTCCTCAGCATTATTGCTACCAAAGGAAAACTCTGAAATCTTCAAGGAAAAAATAAAATATTTCAAGCTTCATTGCCATCATTATTATTATTATGATTATTGTCTGATGGCAAAGAGCCCAGATGCTATAAATCAGTGATTTCAGTGGTGTTATACTAATTTCAACAGCGTGGAGATCCTGGGCTGAATCTGCAGCGCTGTAGTAGGGCTTGAACAACAGAGAGCACTCTCCATGTCCAAGACATTTCACTGCAATTATGACCCATTCCACCCCTGCAATTAGAAACTGCAGTAAGATCTTTTTTTTCTGAAAGAAGCTGTTCAGGTCAGCTTTTGAAAGGCAGCAGAGCTCCATGACCTTCGGTGGGGCTTTACACCACTCACCAGCTCACAATCCACTGCGCACCAGTGTGGGGTGTAACTGGTAGAGCACTGGGGCAGCACGGACACTTCCTCCAGAACACCGGTACACTTAAAACATTTAAATATTCAATATCCTGTCCATATCCCGTTGTACTTCAGGCAAGCTTCATACACGCAATCTCACGTAATGACATTAATTCCGTACGTTACCTCTCTGTTCTTCCTGTTCACATCACTTTCTAAGCACAGACATGATTCTGCAGGCTTTATAATTACTGTTGATGTACTGATTACGATCAGGATTTTAAGGCCAGAATTAAACTCATTCCACAGGAAGTAGACACATCGGTAGCAAAACTGATTATTTACTTCCTCGCTTTCTTTGCCAACATCACCTTTTTCCAAGATCTCTCTAGCAAAAAACTCAAAGATTTCTTATTTTGAAGCAAGAAAGAATTTCACATTACATTTTCACAGGAATGCGTCTAATGAAATGGTACAGGTATCACCTGGGATGTATAACTGACAGTACTCTAGGATCCTGCTTCTTTCCTTTCTTTCTGTCTTAAACTATTCAAAGAGACACAATCCAGTTCCTACAAATTTCACATGCCAATAGTTTGCTTACACTCCTGAAAACTATTTCTCTCAATATAGTAATTCAATTTTTTTAAAGATACCGAGATTTGCATCCTGCTTTAAACCCACAAATCTCTGCCACTCAGAAAGACTGATATTCTTCATATCTCATCATCCCATGACGGTCTTTTAACACTTGTCTGGCTTCCTCCTCTCCAAACCAGTTTTAAATAGGGAACAGGATTCCTTTTGTTTCTTTCATGTCTGATCCCACAACAGATGGTAAGGCTGTAGTAAGCGATGCTGTAAAGTTTTCTCATCAAGTTACACCTTCTCACTGCCACAACTTACTCTTTTACTTACTCTGCTCCTTGTAACCAGTTCACAAAATCATGTCAGATTTGCTGTCATTCCTTGCAATCCCTTTTGCTACACAACATGGGGAAAAATGATATTTTGGGGACACACTCTAAAATCTCAGTTGCAAGGACTGAGATTTCTGTGTGCAACCCGAATATTCTATTCACAACCAAGAGAGGTCCAATGTAGCATCTCTCCTGAACTTCCTATTATTCGCAGAAGATTATGGCTTCCCCAAAAGGTAGCATACATTATAAACAAAAATTGAGCCCCAAAGATTACCTTCTTAGTGCTGTAATCTGCTCATCTGTAAGTCCACCACTCTCTTCATGTATAATGTACAGTTTTTCTTTCAGCTCGCTTGGTTTTATACGGAAACTTTTAAGAAAAATGTCTGGAGGAAAATGATTCTTCGATTACTTTGAAGAAAATGCTCAAGGGAAGGAAAATCACTAAAACATTTCATATTTACTTTCCAGATTTTTTTTTTTTTAAGAAAAAAAGCAGAAAAAAAAACCAAACCCAAAACCAGAAAAAATGCAAAACACTTAGTAGCTGCTAATGCTAAGGCAAAAACTGAATCTTCATATTTTATTTAAATATACATAGCAGTAATCAAGCCAAAATACACTTCTGTCAGAACATAGTCAATGCTTAAGACAGAACTATCAAGATATTGCTATCAGAAGGTATTCAATTGCTTGCTCATATATATTTCTCTTGTACTCAGCTCAACAGTCAAAATAATTTTTTTTTCAAAACAATAATATGATGTATTGGAGTATTATAATATTTTGAAGGTGAAAGAAATTAAATTATCCACTTGTTTTGATTTTGTTGACTTGCTTTGTTTGATTTCCAGGGTTCAAAAGAATGTGGGTAGAGTCCATGCAAGAAAGATTACTCCCAAAATGAAGGCAACCTGGGAAACAGAAGCGCTCACTTCTTCCACACTGCCTGATATTCTAAAATCTGATTAAGAGGGTTTGTAATGTTTAAGACTTCTGTGCTGACATGGCGCTAGCTCATAATATGCACTATGATAGGAAAATGGAAAGAAGATGTCTCTTCCCCAAACAGGTGAAGAACCATTTGGGAGGCCGTTGCTCCTAAAAAGACTATTTTGTCTTGCCAGTTATTCTTTAATTACTGTCTGTCTCCATGATTGTCACCAAAGGATGAAGGTAAAAAAGGAAGCACAAGGAAGTGAAGAGAGGGCATCAGCAGAGAAAGCAAAAAGGTTTAAATGCTTCTCAGTGTTGGCATGAAACTTGTCCTAGAGTCTTTGCTACGGTAGAACTCCTCTGAGCAGCACAAGGGGATTGGGAAGGAGAACTCAGGAAGATGTGTATGGTTTACCTTTTCTTTTTCCTCCAGTCCTAAAAAGGAGCAGAGTTTTTCAGGCTATAAGAACTTGCTGTGGTCTGAGTCAGCTGTTGATGGTTCTCAGGAGACTGTCGGCCAATGGAGTATATACCATTCATTCTTCCTCTGACACACTTTCCACCCTTTTAATTTTGTTATAAGATCTAGCTTTAGTGCTAAGCCTGACAGAATCTTCCCTTTTTCCTTCTTGTGCCTTATATCTTCTGCTTCCCTCTGCCTTTTAAACCATCTGTCTCTTCAGGTGGGGTGATGTCTACGGACCGTAACATAGTGAATAACTCATCGTAAAATAAAATGTTGATTTTAAACTTTTCACGACCTGTCTACAAAGTATTTGATATTTTCTTGAACATTTTCAGTAGGTGAAATTAGTGAAACAGGCACCAAGCTGGTATTTTGACTCCGAAATCAGTTTTTCACCCACTAGATCCCACATTCTTGGATTAACACATACATTATAGTGTTTCCCAAAACTTTTTCATTGGAAATCTGAGGATGTTTTTCTTGTCTCTCTCTTTCTGATGCCTGTACTCTGTATGGCAGAAATGTATTTTGTCTACAAGAATCCACTAGATAAGTTAGCTTTTATTTGCATTTTCTCATGCATTGGGCTTGAATTTAGTGTGTAGATGATCTTTCAGAACTCTCATTTTTCTCTTGTGTTCAGATACCCACTCAAATTCTCAAGAAATTTTAACCTACTGGCATTTTGGAGCTTCATCTTTTTATTCGTTAATTTAAGAACTGTGGTTTGCAGCACTTGCAGGAAGATTAATCAGAATTCTCAGGATCAAATTAACTTTTGATCTAAGTAATGTCCATTATAATAAGTATATGCCAAAAATCTCACTGATGGGACTTTAAGGATAAGATTAAGAAATGGATGTAGAATGCCTGAGTGAAAAAAATTGTAAGAGGAATAGGATCAAAAGGAAGAATGGTGCTATTTGCAAACCAAAAGAAAGAAATTTCCTCAAAGAAACTGCAATGATTTAGTAGATAAAAGTGCTATTACAGGATTCTTTTTATCTGCAACAGCACTTTCGTATCACTCACTTCCTTTTAACCCTTCAAATTGTTAGTCAATGGCTGCAATAATGCCAACAAGTTATCTCCATTTACAGTTCCCAATTAAAACTTTACACACTCTCCAAAATATATTCTTTCTTATCAATATTCATAAAGATGAAATCATTAAAACTTCAAAATTAACTGCCCCAAATTCTTTACACATGTAACATTTCTTAAAACATCACTAGGTTATAGAACTTTTTTGGACAGCCATCCCTGTAATGGAAATCAGAGTAGTCTTTGAAGAACAATTACCCTTGCTCCTTTAATATCTGCCACTTCTCATCAAAGTAATTGAAAGAACTTTACATCATTCTATTTGTAAGACCAGAACTATGTGCTGAACTGCTTCGTTAGCTGTGAAAGACCTTTTCACAGGTCAGGCCTTTTGCAGAATCATACCTAGGATATGAGGGGGAAGGATCCTGTTCATGACCGTTCCAGACAGCCATTCACAGTCTCAGCTATGGGCCAGAGAAAGGCCAAGAGAGTTCCTGCAACCTGGCTTGTTGCCTCAAAGGCTTCTTACACCAATCCATCTACACCTACATGAATATTCTTGAACTCAATGTAAGAGGGAGATGGAGCACAGTACTCAAAGTTCTAGCTGCCAAGCTGTTTCTGTTGACTTGTTTCACCTGGACAGCCCAGAAAGTTTGAAAAACCTTTGAGGTCAGAGTCATTGATTTCACAGGTGTCATACATGATTTTACATGTCTGCCTCGAGACAACAGCATCCCAACTCAGTGGCACATCCACATGCTTTGTATAAGAGGAGGAGAAGCTTGGTGCTCCTACTCTACATCATTAAGGACCACATTTAGAGCAACTGAGCCATGAGGTCTATTTGTGTAAACGAGTAGAGGGGCACTGAGTTACAAGACAACACGAGCTTGTCTCATGGCCTATTGAATGGCAGAAAGTACAAATAGAAAATGCATGCAGTGCTCACCCCAGGCTTCCAGACAGGAACACACAGTCCTTATTAATAAACTTACTGAAGTTATGCGCGACTTTTCGATCTAACATGATGTGCTGATTCGCTGAAGGTTCATTGCCCGAAAATACCGCCACGTCCTGGATCTGGAACTGATCACAGAGTCTGGATACATCTATTTTTTTCTTGCATGGATCACATGATCCCCAGACAGATTTTTGAATCTAAAAATATAGGAATGACAGGGTAAACAAAAAGCCAAAAGAACAGAGCTGCTTTTTTCTATCCAAACACAGAGAAGGCATCCAGGTCGCTTTGTGACACAGCTGTACTTTCATGATAACTATAATGTAATACAGGCTACAATATTATTTTTTTCTTTAACAGGTCCCCTCAATTTCATCCTCACCTTATCATAAGGAACAACATCCCAGTGAAAGGCTTTGGTTCTCTTTGTCGATGGAGAGAGGCTGGGGGGCTGCGGGAATACAGGCGGGGCTGGCGGTACCTCCGCCTTACTTAGGGCAAGTGGAAGCGATGGTGATGCTGGGGCTGCTTCCCCCTCCGCAGGCTTTGTCTGGGGGCTCGAAGACTTGTTCAGACTGGCTGTTGCAGAACTCACACCAAAGTAGAGGGCCTCTTCTTTCTGTTCATTCAGAGGTACAGTAAAATCCTCGTAATCAGCTTCGGAGGAGGTGCATCCTTGAGATCCCTCCTGAGGCAGTGAGGCACCCTCGCACAGCTGACAGTACCGTTCTATGAGAGACACCCACTCATTCTGGAGCTTGCCAACATCCTCTGCCCTGTTCCTTTGGACAGTAAAGGGTATTCGAAACCTGAAATTTAAGAATGTCATATATAAACGCAAGGAAGTGTAAATAACATGCTGACTAATACAGCCACAGATATTTCTTATTTAAGCAGAATGATGTTCAGCAGCTTTACTTGTCAGAGGAGCCCAGTGCTGCTGACTCTGACCTTTTCAGACAGAGTTAATTGCTTACGTGTCTGAGGTTAGAGAGCTGAAGTTTTGCCATATATTGACTTTGTGGTGCAGTTACCTCATAATTCCTCTTCTCCACCTTGGGGGAAGGTGAACAATATGCTACGTCTTACTGGGCTTGTTGCACAAGCTAGTCGGAACCTGTTCACACATCTGTCCTATCAAGCTGAATGATATATCTGTTCACTGGCTCCTGACACGACAACCAGACGAGTCTTTGTGGGCAGTATTTCAATGTGTCTTCTCAATTCCACCATGTGGTACCTTTAACTCCACATTAAAATACTCATCAGATCACTGAGGAGCAATGGGAGGGGCAATCTAGATAATTCTGATGGCCTCGTTTCTCCACTGTTGCATTTTGTTCTGGGACATTGAGATTCTCAGTTGCTTGACCTTGTTTTCAGTAGTTCTGCTTTAACAAATTATTAATTACCATCTATACTTACAAATAATTGTGTTCTTTGGTCTGGACTGAGAAGGTACTGCATCCATTCTCCTTGCTGACACTCACATTACCACCTGACAAATTAATTGTATTTGTTACAGGGTCTGCAGTCTTGTTCTTTCCTCCCAGACCTATGCAATATAAAGTCAACTCTCCTTCACGTAGTTGTACCAAGTACCTGAAGGACAAGGAACGGAGATACAGTTCATTCTTCACTGACTACTTATTTACACAAGCCTTGCTTGAACAGAGGTTCAAGCATTTTCTAATGTCAATCAGTCTCCACATCTTTATAGCATCTTCCATGCAACAGTCAAAATGTATCAATGCTAAAGCATAAAACCATTGAGATGAGGGCTTCTTATTCACATCTGACACGTAAGTAAACTGTGACATAAAATATGAACTTCCAGCCTGCCGTGCCTAATGAGGGAGCTAAAACTAAGAAGATCTGAGTATCAACTAAAAATCACACGAGTCCTGTTATTTTGTTAGCTACACTCTGTCCCTCCCACTCTATTTATTCCCCGCGTTTGTTTGCAATGGTGGGTCTTTTGGACTATGAGCTTTTAAAGGACTTCACTGTGTGACTGAGCAGCGCATAATATGACGAGGCTTCAGAGTTTCCGTGTCTTCTGGGTTTTACTGCCACCAAGCTATAAACAAGTCACCATAAGATAAGTTAGTGCCCAACCTCACAGGCCAAGAACTCTCCCTCTCTTGGAAATGTCTCTGCACACGCTCTTACTCCATGAGGACTGATCCTGGTGGCCCCTCATTCCCACGAGTCACTTGGCCGGAAGGGGTCAAAGTATTCTGCTCTCAAGGGCTCCATCAGAAATGGCTGTGCCAAACTGTGGGTGTTACCTATTTAAACGATAAATTAATCCTGGCACAAATTGCCTGCCCGTATGCAGCTTCTCTTAGAGCAAAATGTTCTGCATCAGCCTCTCTTCTAGGATTCTGCTCTGCTGGTTATAAGAAAGGCCCCACACTCAAGAACAAGTGGGGCTTTACTGTATGTGGGGTTTATTCTTATTTAAGCATTTGCATTCTCATTTTTCTTGAGGGTTACTGCATTTCTTTATCATTCTGACAGTTCTATCAGACCTTTCTTTTCCTCCACTCTCTCTTCAAGGTGTGGCTAGTTGATTAAGGTGTTCTGTGAGGAATTTAAATAAGTTTAGCTGCTCCAGAAGAATTAAACATAAAATATAAATTGCATCTATTCCCACGTAAACAGTCAAAGTGATAAGAATTGTTTAATGGAGCTGGCAGTTATATTGATCTCTCCTTTCTTTAAAGCAGGGACTTATAGTTTAATCGGATCTCCAGATGCTTCCACCATTATTTACTTTGCCAAAAAAAAAAGGAGGATTAATATCAAGAAGAAAGCAACAAGGGCTTTGCTTCACAAGATAAATAAAAATCAATTTTTGTTTGTTAACAAACTTGTTAAATGTTGCAAAGTAACAAATCCTGGGACACACTTGAGGATAGTGTTTACAAGACGTACAGTGGTAGCCTTTTTAAAACAATTAAAATCATTTTCTGTGAACTGTGAAGTCTTTGAGATAATTGCCCTGTGCAGATAATTACAATGTTAATTTTTTTTTCATTAGTTTTTGCTAGACAGAATTTTTTTTCTCTCTTTCTCTCCGTTGATAGTATAAGCAATTTCCAGGTGTTTTAGGAGCTGGCTCAGGGGAAGGGTGGGTTGTCTGCAGGATGGGTAGCAACCTACGCAAAATCATTGTGGCTGGTTCGCTAGTTCAGTAATAGAATAAGCGGAAGCAGAAGTCCTGCTTATCTGTGACGGCTTAGGGGCTGAATGAAATGGTGGTGACAGCCCATTTCCTACTGAATAACGACTCCTGCCTCTGAAACCACCACCCCTTTAGGCCACCCCCACAAGAGGGAAGGTCAGAACATTACGAGAATGAATTAATGAATTTTGGGGCAGCCATTTGGCCAGCGTGAGTCAACGTTCTCTAGCTGGACTCCTATACTCCTCATCTGCTTTGCCAGTCTTTTTCTCCTTTTCCTTATGACTGAAAATGGAGTAAAAAGTAAAGAGGTAAACATAAAGAAGTCCCACCATTAAAATCCCTCCGAGCACCATCACCATTATATATTTAACAAAATCCACAACCCAGAGGTCTACGGAAGGGCAGTTCGTACTTCACCCATTCGGTGGATGGAAAAGTGTTTTGCTGCAAATCCAGGAGTCCTTCATGTATCACGTCACATTCTGCAGCTCTCCCAGAGCAGGACTCTGCTGGTCTCTTGCACGAATTGCTCTGTATAACTCTGCTCAGAAGGTATGTTATCTATATAATAAGTGGCAGCAGACAGAGTATATTTTCTATGTTAATTCCCTTGAATAAGACATTAATAGGTGGATTTTTCAAGTATAAAAATGATAGACAACACTATAAGCAGCAGCCAAATAGGTAAAATAAATTAACATAAAATAAATAGGGTCTTTCTATGATGCTAAACTACTTAACTGCAATTTGGTTTTATGCCCACAGTTCTAAACTTGTCAGTGTATGAAGAATATAATTTTATTCTGGATGGGTTACTGTAAAACATAATTTTACTTTTTTAATTCATATACAAAGCAATCTAGGACAATGTTTCTGTTCAGCTCAGTTCAAGCCCAAGTAGTACTCGATTGATTTAGCTTGAAATCTCAAACCCCAGCAAAAAAATGAAGGCTTGCCTACAGTTGAAGATAGCATGGATTAAGGTTGGTGTGAATTTAAAGCGCTCTTTTTTGTTAGACAGGGCCATATTTGAATGTTCTTACTACAGAATACATGTACCTTTTTGAGCTCTTCTGCCAAATGTATTTTGAACATTAAGCTAATCTATTTGGAACATTAACCTCATCAACTGTGAGGCACTGTTCCTCTGGAATAAAAGTTTCTGCATGTGGAGTGAACTGTTGTTTCACGAGGGATGAATCCCTCTGCAAAAAGCCCCTTCAAAATGGGTCACCGGAGAAGTTTGGATGTAAACTCCTCTGTGGTTTTGAGAGTTCGTATCTCAGCCTACATTGTGGAGCTGGCTCCAGCGTCTCAGCAGTGGGATGACACAAACTCCAAGACTTGGTCACCCCAAACACAGGGATAGCTGCACTCAGGTGAAAAACTAGTGGTAATGTCATGACTCGAGTTTCTCAGGTTTCAGTGTAGAGTCTAATTACACTAATGACTTGGAATATTTAATTGAACCTAGAACTTGAAAGGAACTGAGACCCCAAAATGAAACAGCTCATACAAAATCCTGCAACACTGAATCATTTCATTAAACAAATATCTCATTGTACCTAGGCTGTCTTGCTCTTTTTAATAATTTCAGTGTATTTTGATGGTAAAAGATGAACTACTAGGTCTTTTTTTTTTTTTTTCACAGCATCAGGATGGCCTCACTTATTCTTCTTAAAAGCATGCATTTTAACAAATATATATAGAATAAAAAACCTGCTTAGAAAATTTCAATTAAGATTAAATTGTGCATGTCATCAGTTTTGTTTGCTTGCTGTAATACAATCTCAGACCAGTTACATTCAAGGTGTAGTTGAAGAAATGCATCCATTTTCATATCATGTCTTGAGCTGGCTTTACATCTTCAGTCCTAGTGAACTGTGGCAAAATCCTAAGGCCAAACTTTATCCTGAACTCACATTCCCTTTGTTCTATGTACGAACATACACAGAATAAAGACATTCCTACTTCTTTGTTTGCACAATGCACAGCATAACAATTCCCATTTATGATTGGGACCTGCTGGGTACTACCATAACATTAGCTGTTATTTATAGCAATCTGTCTATGACATTGTAAAAACTTACCTTCCTTTTATCATCAAGAGACACTGCTTCCAGCTCATAATCTTGTCGCCCATGAAACACAATGCTGAAGCGCCTCCTTTCAGTATCTTCACAAGCTTTGACTTGTGAGAAAGGGAACTGTTTCTTAATAATTCCTTTTTCAATGTTAAAAATGGTCTTTGTGTTGAAATCAATCTGGAACAGAAAGTTCTTCATTACTTGACTCCATCGCTTCTCTTCATTGAAAGGGAAAGACAGCATCCCCGATATTACCATGCAAGGGCATTTAGATAAAGGACCAGCCTGGAATATGTATCTATCTTGCCAATGAACAGAATAAAAAATGACATTCCATCATCAAGATGCTGTACGATATTTGTTTTAGTTACAAAACAAACAGATATTAATTGTAACTGTGTTTCCCTATCGCTTTTGATGAATATGCATCAATTTATCACTCTGAAATATTTCCTCTTTAAATTCTCCTTGTCATATACAACCCAGTGCACAAACTTCCCATTCAGCAGCAGTGGCACGACCGTCTCAGCAAAGTTTCAATTACTGACCACTTCAACCTACGCCCCAGTACGAAAATGAAGTGAAGGTGGTTATTTTTATAACGGCCACTTCTGTGTCAGGAAAAAAGGATACTATTGAGAGATTATTTTCTGATATAAATATTACTGTGTTTTGGTTTAGATCTTATCTAACACAGATTTTTTTTGTCTGTATATATACGCATATATGTGTATATATAGGTGAAGGGAGCGATGAAAATAGTCAATATATTTTATTGCTGTTTCACAGCTGTAACAATTAAAAATTGTTTGCTTCAAAATAAGATTTTTTTTTTCCACTGCACAACCTATATCTGCGGTGTTAGAAACTGGCACAGACAGATTCCAGTATCTGTTCTATGCATCAGTCCCTGCTGAGCAGAAGCAGCTTTGTTGATTCAGTAAGATGCGAATATATCTGACTGCCCAGCGTCAGCGAACGCGGCCCATGGAGAAAATAAACTCAGAAGAGTCTCACATCTCACCCCAGTTAGATATTTACCTTTGGTCATAAATGATTCTTGGCACCTTTCGTTCCTACAGCGTGGACCGTGCCAACCAAATGGCCACTGTGGCCTTTCCCTCTGCTCTGTTTACAGCAGGACCATTCCCATCATTATCTCTGGCTTCTGAAGGCTGCTGGTACCCAGAGAGCTGGAATTGAACTACACCAGATTCCCAGACTGATAACTTCCACATCCAATATAGATTTTTCCATCAGCTTTATGTGTAAACAAATAATCTTTTAATTCCAAAAACTGGGGGATACTGAGGGAAATAAGGAGATTATACTTTCTACAGGTAAGATGTAGTAAACAAAAAAGCCACCCTCTAGCATGTATCACTTGGACTTGCTTATTATCAAATTTTGTCCAAACTGCAGGAAAAATTCAGTGAAATCCAGGTTCCCGGAACCAACATGAAAGCTTTGTCACTGACTTCACGGAATCAGGAAATCACCATCGGGTGCTATCGACAGAAGTTTGCTTTAATATCGTGCAAGTCAATAAAGCCTTAAGGGTTCATAATGTCAAAAAAAAAAAAAAGAATTCACAGGACAGAGTAACCAGAGAAGAAATGCACAGTCTGCCAAATGAACCTTCTGAGTACCCCCAGGAACATCTCTTCCCAAGGTTCTAGAGAGTGCATTGAAGTGTCCAAAGGGACAGATCTTTAAGTATGTCTACATCACTTGTAGGTACTTACTGTTGCTAACTACTAAGAGCAACTCCCAGGCAGGATCTTTACAATCCATCATCTTGGTGAAGAATCATGGGGTTTAGAGGTGAGAGAACCTCTGAGATCATCAAACCCATTCTACAGCTCTGCCAAGGACTCAGTAGAGGGAGTTTCAGATATATACTTTTGGTCGAAAGTCTGTTCAATATCTTACAGGTCACTGAACCACAAGATGTTTTAAGCTATCACATAACATTTACTGAGCAAACTAATCATCCTATATTTTTTATATATTGTTTCAAAAGTGAGAGTTTTTAAAGTTACCTGCAAAATTCGTTTCTGCCACCGATAGTGTTTGTGTTTGTAGATAATGAAGTTAAATTGTGAGCCAGTTAGCAAATCCTGTGAATCCTGAAAAATAGAACAGAAATCAGCAGTATGTCCAAACTGTGCTAATTTTTGCCCACTCAAATCCGGTCGCGTTCTCAGGTGAAATCTCCCTCAGTGACCAGTGTGAAACAGTGCTGGAAGCTTTGCAGGAGACCTCCACATGGAGACACATGGAAGAACCCTCCTGACCTGATTTTCACCAGCACAAAACATCCACAACTCCTGCTGTAGTAATGAAGGGATCGCAGATTGGGAGGGAAGGTGAAAGGGAGAGCAGAAAGCAGGAAGACAGGGAGGAGAAGAGCAGACCCCAGGGAATTGTACTAAATACATTCAAAACACATGAGAACAAGCAGTTTGTTAAATCAACTAAGCAGCAAACAAGAACCATATATGACTTTAAGGAAAAATATTTACAAACCCTTGAATGTGGTGCAGTATAATGGAAGATCTTTGTTCCTTAATAATATATAAGGGTATACAATTTGTTATCTGGTCCCTTATAGAATATGACTAGTCTTATAATCTTCAGGAAAATGCAGGGAATGGAAGGTCATGATCCAGCTATATTAAATTTTATTTCGTTTTAATAATTAGCTATCACAAAAACTTTAGTGCAGCAGAAGCAGAAAAGGAACCCTTTTTCTTCTTACTCCAAGAATATTTTTCCATATAGTCCTACGCTGCTGGGTTTAATATTTTTTTTGACTGCAGTCCTTCTGCAAAACTTGCACTGCTTTTTTATTAGTATTTATTTTTGCTTCTCCTTCTACTTTCCAGCCAATAAGTTAATAAGCAGTTCAGACAGTTATTTTTAAAAATTCCAAAAAGCACCAGGTTTATCTCAAAATCACTATCAGTTCCTGTGGTGCAAAAAAAAAAAAAAAAAAATCAGATTGTGTCATTAGCACATCGTAAGATTTCACTGTTTCCTGGAGATACTCCCGTACAGAGGCTGGTTCAGAACTCCAGAGCAGAAGGGGAAATAGATAGTGAAAATTTCTCCAGAGAATTCTCTGCTGGCACTTCTGTGGTGGTGATGGACAGAGATTGCAACGAGGGAGATACTGGACAGGGATTACGAGTACAAGGCTGATGTACTAATGTACGCAATTAATGTACTCCTCATTCTCAAACCATTTCCGCTCACCATTATCAACTTCTACTTTCCTCAGGAAAGAACCTCCATACTTTCTATAAAATGGAAAGATGCTAATGACCAACTTCTGATTGACAGTGAAGAGACGAAGGCTTTAACAGCAGAAAAATGATTTTTTCCTGTCTCAATCTCATCCTGAAGAAATCTCTGAACTAGACCTCTTGGTCTCATTGACCTATGCTCAGCAAAGCTATGGTGTTGTAGGACCCAAAACCAGTTTTAAGCCACCTTTACACTGATTCTACATTTGCCTGGTGGAAGGTCAGAGCCAACCATAGGAAATGTTAGAATTGAAGTCACACTGGCCAAGGCTTTGCACTTTGTAGCCAGCCATTCTCATAGCCATGCACAACGCTGCGTTGTCAGACCCTCTTACGGTGACCAGTCATGCCCCAAGTTCAACCCAACGCTTGGACACCCCTCAGAGATTAGATCCATCACTTTCCTGAGGTGCTCCATGGCATCAGCCCAAGGATTTTGCCCTACATTTATTGCTACGGTGCTTGATGCTGCACTCAGAATAACGAAACTCATATGGATACATCTGATCTCGATTTAACCTACTTAACCCAGGTAATGACATCAGTGTAGCTGCAGCATCTACGCGGGATATCCATGCCACAGGAGACAGGCAGCATTAGCCATTAGTACCTGACATATTTGGTCATAAACTGGAGTGTCTGTGTTTGCACAAGTTGGGACTGCATCTTTGAAAGCAATACAGACACGCTCCTAACGCTCAACCAGGCTTTCCAGAACATGCTCACACACTTGAATGTCTTGCAAAATAGATCAAAGGAGTGACCTTACCTTTTCAGCATACACCTCTTTCTGTGCCAAATGCAAAGCTCCTTCAATGCTCACTTCTTTATTTTTCACCATGTTCATAATTTTGAGGATTTTTTCCTGGCTTAACTGGAAGAAAAGTCAATCAAATGTTTTTTCATCTGGCTATTGAGGATACAGAGTGCTTGTGACAGTTACAGTTGCAGTATCTGCCATAAAATTACAATTTCATTCATATTTTATGTTCTATCGACAACCTGCCCAGCAAATATAATCTCCCTTTGAAACCCGGTGAGAGTCCACACGATATCAAATATACAGGGGTTTTTACAATTTTAGAAGCTGGGGTGGTAATATCTGGAGATGGAACTGCTAGGAGGAAATCTTTTTTAGTTAGAAAATCTGGCAAGAAGCGAAAACATCAATTTTGCATGCTTGCCTGTGTCTTACCCTTAGTGTAAAGTACTGCATACAGACAACATGAAAGCAAAATCAGGACCATTTGAAATTTTCAGGGTGAAAGGGGGGAAACTGATGTTGGTACCAGCAGGAACAGCTGTCACATGAACTTATCTCAACACGTTAACCAGCCGGCATCACACTTCCCCTTTCTTTTACCGAAAAAGGAGGTTGCACTGTCAATAAGCTTACACACAAATTTATGTCACTCTTAAGTGAACCAGGTGGAGATTGCAATGCCAAACAGGAACCAAGCAAAGAAAAAAAGGCAAGTGGAGTAACCAGGGACCCAGAACTACAGCCGCTTACACTGTTGGCGAAGCTCTTTCACAGACTTTGTAGAAGGAGTAAACAACCTCCCTTTGAGACAGACCAAAGAGGTCCCTTGTGTGACATCCATTCCTCAACAGCAGCAGAACTGGGAATTTGGAAGGAGTGTGTAGTTTTACCACGAGAGCTCAGGAAGTTGTATGATTTTATCCACTAGCTCAGCTACAATATTCAATTAGCTACACCATGCAATGTTTCCTGCCCCCCTGGAGAATGACCTCACCACCAGGAGACGAGTTACTGCAATAAAATCTTTCTTTCAAATCTTTTGAAAGAGTTTTAGAACTCTTCCATGTGGACGTCCAGGTGGAGAGCCCTCCCCAGGAGCCTTGCCCAGGCGGTGCAGGACCCGGGGGAAAGGGCAGGAGAGATGTCTCGGGAACGGGAAGGGGGGCTCCCCTGCACCCCTACTGCGGAGCTGCTGTAGGGACTAACGCGTTCAGAGCAAGGCAGCTCAGAGCATCTCAGCACTGCAGGCAAACCTGAATTTGGCCACCCTGAGGACGAGGCACCAAGACCTGGAGGGGGTTTTGTTGTTCCTGCCGTAGGAAAAAGAAGACGAAGAGCTAAAGACAGGAATCCCTGGGGAGCCTGGGAGGGGAAGGGTGGGCAGAAATTGGGGCTCCTGAGAGCTGCCAGTTCTGCTGCCTGAGACTCATGACTGCGTGATTGCTACTGCCAGCAGCTGCTTCCCAGAGCTCCCAGCAGGCAGAGCAGGCAGCACAGGCAGTGCAGGCAGCACAGGCAGAGCAGGCAGCAGGGCTGCAGCTGCTTTGCCACCCCCAGCAGCTTCCTGTCTTGCCTTCCCTACGCCTACAGCTCCCCACAGATATAGCAGCTTCTCTGCCAACCCCCCAGCGCCGCAGCCCTGGAGCAGAACGAGACCCTCTCCCCCCGCCACGCACCACGGTCCCCTGGCACCAGGCTGCTGGGCAACACGAAAATAACCGGTCACCCCACAGAGGTCAGGGACCAGGAAATCCACAGGTTCGCTCTTTTTCTGAGCCACACTACACCGAACGCTCTTTAGCTTACCAAATTTCTAACGTCTCAACCAGTTTCCGATCAACAGACGCATTGTATGTTTTTACAGCCCGCAAACAAAACTGGGAGTAAAAGAAGAAGAAATACTTTGGTTTTAAAGCCTTGGAATTTTCAATGCTAATATAAAGGTAACTTACGGCATAGCTCCCAGCTGCAAATAGTAATTTGAACAGTGAGGAAAGAATGAAAGCAGTCTGATAATTCATTCACACTTGCTGAGGCACAGAAGCTTCCTACAATGACCTCCACATTCTGTATTTGAATTTTAAATGGCCATATATTTACACCACACATATACTGTATACGATTAGATCTTAACAAGATAATTCCCCGCTGAACAGGCTCTGTGTAAGCAAACAAGAATATGGATCTATTTGAACTGAAAAATATGGTTTCCTTAAGGCTAAGCTCTGCCAGCTTTAAAGTGCAAGATCCTATTTATAGAGGATAGCAATTCTCGATCGGAAGTTGAATAGTATTTTTGCAACTGTTAGGCCCTTTTGTATGGAGAAGGGTTCAAAGATTTTGCAGCAGGATGACAACGATAACATAAAGATAACATCATAGCTGTATGTCAAAGACACAGTCTGATTAACATAAACAAGAAAAGTATTTATTTCCTTCGCTTCGGTACACAAGTAAGTCAATGAACGAGCTCAGCTCTCGTTTGAATCTCATGGTGTTGCCCAGCTACGCAGCACATCGTGCACATCTGCAGGGATGCTTCCTAAGAGTGGCCAAGAAAACAAGAGTTTCAACTTGAAAAACATGAGGCTTTGATTTATTTATTTTTCTAGGATATAGGTGATTTGGGTCACCATCCCTGTTCTCGTGCAAGCAGGCTCCATACTCTGCAGTGCCCCAAGCTCTGGGTATTTTAAGGTCTGTCTTTCTGGCCAAATATTCTATCTAGGAGAGACCTTGCCACAACATCTCTACCAGAACCAAGACATCTTTTTGTAATTCACTGTGTTTCTCTTTTGCATTGCTGAAAAATTTCCAACAGTTTTTTGTTGGTTTTTTTTTTTTTTACTTTTAAAAAAAAAAATACAGAAGTGAATGCATTTTTGGCTCTGTGAAGTATTCAACTCTGCATTCTGCTTACCGTCACCAAAGCCTCCTTTAGACTAGAATGAAATTCTGCCCAAGACACAAAAACAACAGGGAACATCTCTTAATTTGCTTAATAATGTATGAAGAGAAACATTTGCAAAAGAGAAGAAAATCATTTTGTATATTGCAAATTCAGAAAGGTTAGTTAGTAAGTTAGACTACTGACAGTTAATGTATTCCCCAGAGAGCACACAAAAGACGGTGCTCGGTACAGGTTATTTTTAACAGCACCCTGTTGTTTTAATGTCTCTGTTAACTCTCTTTCTCTCTGCACATCTGTAAGCAGGCGAGAAACATTTCAAAAGACAAAAGAGGCAAAAAAGGCACTTTTCAGCTTATGAGAACTGTCAAAATTATTTGTCAGAAGTCTGTCTGGTTCGCTTAGTTTTTTGACAGCCACACATTAGCATGGTATTTTTACTTGCAAACAAGACTTGAGTAACATGTCCTGACCTTTATCGTTTTGTATCTGTGGGGCTTTTCTCTCAGCACGTCACAATTTTTGTAATGCTCATTCTTGTGTTTGTTTTGGTTATATCTTTTTCTTAAAAACTAACAATTTTTGTCATATTATCCACTGAAATGCCACTAAGTCAGATCGTGTTATATTGCCTAATAGAATGTGACTGGTGCAACCAAACAATGTTTTTATACAAGGTTGGATAACAAAACTCAGAAAAAAATTAAATGCTTCTATTATAAAGCATGCACATTAAGGAAATACATGAGATTGTGTTAATAATGCATTCATTTACCTGCCAGGTTAAAGCAGCTTGTTTAATAGAGATTAAATTTTCATCACCCACCCAAAATTCAGTATAGCCACGTAAGTGAGTTGAAAGACAAATCAACGCTCACAATTGAAGGAAGAGCCCGGGGCTCCAGGCATTCTCCGTATATCCATTACTCTGCAGGGTGAGGTTTTTATTTTTTTGGCCTAGACATGGTATAAAATGTGTTTAGTGGTGAGATATGAGATTTCTGGCTTATTCTTGGGCAGCTGCCATGGCAGTACTCTACACAACCCCTTCCAGGGCTTCCTGCCACTCTCCGTTTACCCAGCCCAGTCTCACGGGAGGCCCTAAAAGGCGTAGAAGGTTTTGCATGTAGTCTCATGCTGTGGAAATATTACTCTGATGACTCCAGAAAGGTCCCCAGCCCTCCCGAGCATCAGCGAAGAAAGAGAGGTTAAAGCCACGTCATCCGAGCTCTTTACAGTCGATTGAGCAAAGCAGCAGAAGGCATGCAGAACATGGGTAACAGTTCAAGGATAAGACAGGCTAATGTCTTCCTGTGTCTCTTCTTTCTAACTCTCATCCTCTAACACGCACTGGTTCACGTTCCCCAGGAGGCCCCAGGGTTGCTGTGACTCCTGTGCAGTCAGTGGAGGTATCTGGGCTTCTCCAGGTGGCAATTCACTGCATGGAAGTCCTGTCTCGTTATCTGAAGTCTCTTTTTCTCCATTACCTACAGAAGAATTTGAGCTATGTGGCTTTTGCTCAGCTCATTCTTATTCTGTGGACCATCCTACCTGAATCATAATAATATGACAGCTACCTAATGCAAAAAGACTCCTGGAACGTGTGCACGTACACCCATGGAGACGTAGAGCAAGAAATCTGGCTGACAGTCAGCTATACATATGATCTCAATTATTACAAACACTGGCACGATTCAGTGAGACATTATTTCAGGTTTACTTAGGTGAAGATCAGAGCTAATATGCACCGAGCTCTATCATTTCCTGTGACAACAAAACCAAGTCATGCGGAAATCCTGCTCCCCCTACAAACGAGGAGAAATTTTTATTCAAACCTAGTCAAGCTTTTCACTGTTAAGCATTCCTTACACTTGTCCTTATTAAACATTAACCATGTTAAACATTCTCATCTGCCTGCTGCAAGGAGCGTGAGACAAACCGGGTGCTGGCTGGACCCAGAAGGGAAGGTTGGATGGAGAGGGCTTCTCCCTCAGCCTCTGCGCTCCACAGCGGCATCTCCCTTCCAGCACCGCCAGGATCAACGCTCCTGGGACAAGGGGGCTCAATCCAAGAGGGAAGAGCCAAGTAGTAGCTACATATTGCTTTGCAGAGATCTCACGAATTTCGGGGTATAAATCTGATTGCATGCTAGTGCTGTCCGCACAAAAAAGAAACGTGCTGGTTTAACATACGTGCCTGACAT